TTGATAACAACTTGGGCTATCCTTGTCCTCTCTGGTCCGGATGACATGGCGTCCCAGTGTTCCATAAAGAACTTCAAATCGTGACTCATCTGACCACAGAACAGTCTTCCATTTTGCCACACTCCATTTTTTATGACCCCTGGCTCAGTGCAAATGTCTGAGCTTGTGGAGCTTGCTTAGAAATGGCTTCCTCTTTGCACTGTAGAGTTTCAGCTGGCAACGGCGGATGGCACGGTGGATTGTGTTCACTGACAATGCTTTCTGGAAGTATTCCTGAGCCCATTCTGTTATTTCCTTGACAGTGGCATTCCTGTTTGAGGTGCAGTGACGTTTAAGGGCCCGGAGATCACGAGCATCCAGTAGAGTTTTACGGCCTTGACCCTTACGCACAGCGATTGTTCCAGATTCTTTTAATCTTTTAATGATGTTATGCACGGCTGATGATGATAACTTAAAAGTCTTTGCTATTTTACGCTGGGTAACACCATTCTGGTATTGCTGCACTATCTTTCTGCGCAACAATGGTGGAATTGGTGATCCTCTTACCATCTTGGCTTCTGAGAGACACTGACACTCTGAGAAGCTCTTTTTATACCCAATCATGTTGTCAATTGACCTAATTAGTGTTAATTGGTCTTCCAGCTGTTCGTTATATGCTCAATTTCCTTTTTCCAGCCACTTATTGCTACTTGTCCCAACTTTTTGGGGATTTGTTGACACTGTGAAATGTTGAATCAACATATTTTTCTTTAAAAATGTTACATTTACTCGGATTAAACTTTTGATCTGTCATCTGTTATATTACGAATAAAATATTGACATTTGCCATCTCCACATCATTGCATTCAGTTTTTATTCACAATTTGTTTAGTGTCCCAACTTTTTTGGATTCGGGTTTGGAAATTCAATAATATATATATATATATATATATATATATATATATATATAAATATTATAATATAATATAAATAAATCGCAGGGGACTGAGCCTTGTGTGATAAAGCAAACTTCCGTCATTTAGATAAACGATTTAGTTGATCGAGAGCAACTACACACTGTTGTTTTGAAGGGTTTGTGTGGCTGTTTGCACGTGTGTGGTTGTGTGGAGTGGGAGGGGTGGGGGGGTTCATGGACTGAGTAACTTCTGTCCTGACAGCACACGCAGCTGATTAGCGATGGTTTTAATAAAACATATGATGACCCAGCAACACTTCTTGTGTGCACACCTTGGAGTTAATCACTGATCAACAATTCTTAGGAAATGACTGAACTGGGTGTTTCCCATCAGCAGGTACAGAAACGACAAAAGCTATCTGTCATAACAATAAAAATAAAATGTGAAAATGTTTTTAATAAATAAGAGTCGGAGTCACTCAGTGTGTTTAAACTAGCTGCAGGTCACACTAAGGCCGATGTGTCAACAGGATTTTACGTCATGGGTTCATATCTCCGAACTGGAAAGTTGGCTAATATTTCTTAAAAGACAGAAAGGAAAACTGGGAAAAATAAACTCCCCCTCCCCACAAAAGAAAACTGGCTCATGTCCAATCAAGGCTACAAAAACCGGATCTATACAGATTTCACTTCAGAACCCTGGTGGGGTTTTGTACCACTTTAATGGTACATTAGAACTCACCTTTTCTCTGCTTTAAAGTTTTTAGTAGCGTGAATGTTTATGAAGCGTTCACACTATTGTGATCCATTTTTCTTCTGTACGATTTTCGGCATCTTTCTCGTTCCACAGTTTTTGTGCTATTTCAACATCGTATATCAGCACGTTCAGTTTTTTCAGGGTGCTATGACTTTTGGTATTGGTGCAACTTTAGCTTTTTGAAACATTTAGCCTTTTCTGCCACTTTTTTCTCAGAAAATGAATCAATATCATTTTACATCCTTCAAATCTTTAGATCCGTTTACAAACTTTTACTGCTCCTTTCACATTTTGTTCTGGTTCAGCTTGTTTGCAAATTTTAAACTTTTTTTCCAACTACTTTCAGCTGTTCTTTCAGCCATTTTGTGATCCTTTCATAGTCTTTCTGCTAGCTACAACATTTCTGCTTCTTCTAACATCTTTCTACTAATTTCAGCATGTTATGCTCCTTTCAGCTTATTTCTGCAAGTTTAAGTTTTTTCTGCTATTTCAGCTACTATTTAGCTTTTTATGCTAATTTCAACATTTTCAGCTATTTCCAAATTTTTGCACTGATTTAAACTTTTTCAGCCTAATTCAGCAAAAATGTGCTTTCGCCATTTCTTGTAATTTATGCTTTTTTCTGCTATTTTAGCTACTACTCAGCTGGGGTTTTTTTTGCAAATGTCTGCCTTTTTCAGATAATTTTCACTTTTTTGTGAAAATTTCTGCTTCTGTAAACCCAATTAGGCACAATTGTGCTCTCCACTCTTCTGGTAATTTAAGCTTCTTTCTGCCTTTTCAGATACTTTTCAGCAATTTTTGCTAATTTCAGCTTTTTCAAGATAAATCACCTTTTTTTGCTCATTTCTGCTTATTTAAACCAAATTCAGCAAATATGTGTTCTGCTTTCTTCTTCTAACTTAGGCTTGTTCTTCCATTTCAGCTGCATTTCAGCATGTTTTTAATAGCTAATTTCAGCAGTTTTTCAGCATGTTCTTCAACAATAAGCATTCATACTGCACTTTCACAGGAAATGCAATTTCTCTAGTTATAAGTGTGAAGTCACTGCCAACCTGAAAGCGCTGAAAAGGCCACCTGTGCCATTTTGTTTCGTTCCCCTCTTTCAGTGGGCTGTGCAGAGTTATGGTGTCAAAGGTTCATCAGATGTTTAGAAATTAAGAAATCCAAACTTCTAGTTCATATTTTCTCCCAGCCTTAACTTCAGATTATGCTGCATTCACTGTGCATTGAGAGCAGGAAGTCTTTTAGTTATTTCCATTTCCTTCCTCAGCCTGGAGACTCTGGGCTTTCTGACAAGGTTGGTGTTAGAATAGTTTTATGTACAATGTCTAAAATGACATGGCCTCTAGCGTTCCCCCCCGATTAAAATCACTCTTAAAAGAAGGCAAAGATACTAACCCTTTGTGTACAGATTGAATTTCTGACCAAAACCTGTCATTGACAATGTGTTCATGTTAACTGGTCAAAGTATTGCGCAATACGACTCTTTTATAAACAAAGGATGGAAAAAAACTGGTAAACAGAGCTGTAAAATAACTATTTACCACACAGTCGCTTTAAAAAAGGTACTCATATCGAAGTCATGAAGACCTGCCAAATAAATCATGACGTAAGAAACAAAATCCACACTATTGTTTTTCCATATTGATCATTAAAGCATCCTCAAATTAAAAATTAGGTGTAAAACTGTAGACGTCCATGTGCATTTGTTTACCTACAAAAACAACTGACGTGAGTAAAAATAGATCATCGATGGCGACGTCCATAAAAGAGCCATTTGGGATGGAGAAATCTGACAATGTTGATCCGTATTCATGTTCAGATTTGAGGAATAAAGTGTGCAAATGAAAGCGCTTTGTTTACATCCACTGCGTACACATACTGTACTATAAGAGTAAACTTGTTCAAAGTGCATTATTTGATATAGATCAGGATCATCTTTATGTTTGAGTTCATCATGTGAGAGGAGTACCATTAAAGTCTGGGACAATGTAATAAAATTATTAAAAAGCTTCACAGTTCAATAGAAAATATTTAAATTTCGGCACATTTTGTAAGTATTTTAAAGACTTTTCATATAGAAATGAAGCTGAATGTTCTTCAGTTGAAACATCCGTAGCAACAAGTGACTTATTTTCCAAGAAGATGAACAGATGACCTGGTTTTTCCTGAGCTGTCACCATGATGAAGCATCCACATCATTTATTAAACATCTGAGGTGGCTTGTGTACTGATACTACCCAAAGCTTTGAATTAACCAACATGGAAAAATCTTATAGGCTGTTTGTTCTTTCACAGAAATGGAACTAAAGATAAATATTCCTTCCTTCCATCCATCCATTATCTTATACATCAAATATCAAATAATAATCCAGGTTTTAAAAAAATCCAACAAAGTGCAGTCAGATCATTTGGACAATTAATGTTTTTGATGAGACGTTTCGTCCTTCATCCAAAGGACTTTGTCAGTGCGAGGAGCAAAAACGAACTCAGTCCCACAAGCAACGCACTCACATAGTTGTCCACTATGTGAGTGCGCTGCGGGGAAAACTGTCAGCACCTAAAGAGCATAAACCTACTCTATATTCTGAATCCAGTCCATTTTGTCATTTCTTTTTCCAACTGGTGCTCACGTCTTTAAGTTAGCTGGATAAGAACCTGCTTCTTACCTGTGGTAGGGCTCCCTCCTGTATTTCTTCATCGTGAGGCCGTCCATGTTGGCAGGAAGGTCAGCATAATTCTGCAATCTGTCACTCCATGATGTGGTCATCTTAAAACCTTTTAATGTCTGGAGAAAAATGGAAGCAGCACAACGAAAGAGGGTAAATACCTTCTGTTGCATGAAACCAGTTAAAACTGAGCAGACACTGTGCTGATGATTGGATGAACAAGATAACCTAACTAAGCGACTACTTATAGAAACTGAGGTGAATAAATACTGTAGCTTGATAGGGGTTATACTCATTTAATCACATATTAATCAGGAAATGATAACACCATAAAATAAAAAAGTCCTTGAAATCCTTTCATGCAGTTCATTTTTAGACCAAGATCAGTTCATGCGGTGAAATGACAAAGTTGTGAAGGTTTCGATCTAACCTTAAAAAACATTATGCTCAATCTTCATGCAAAATGGTGAGACGGCACCCTCAGATTATGTGCTGTGAATGACTCTCAGCTACTACCACATCAAATTCTAACTGAACGTCTATTAAATTGACTGAGTTATAGTCCATTTTGTATTGGTTTATGGCGATTAGCTGTGGCGGCCGGCTTGAATTAAACCTACTCCAAAAGTTACGTCAGCTGTAGCGATACAAGCTAAAATTATTTTGTGAAAGTTCCAATAAAATCAGCCCAGTTCATGGGATATTTTGCTAACAGAGAGACACAGCTGGCTCCAGCTCAAAAGCATCAAGAGTATGCGCTGGGGAAGAGTCTCAACGACTACTACACCTAATTTTACCTTAGAGCAGGGCTATTCAACTGGTGGCGCGGGGGCCAAATCAGGGCCACAGGTGAGCTCAGTTCGGCCCACCAATGGGTTCATTTTTAAATAAAACAAACTTAATTAATGAGAATAGCTGATGGATGTCCAGCCCCTGAGCTATTGGCTTTCAGTAATTGTAGCCATCTGAGAAATTTAGTTGAATTGTCCTGCCTTAGAGTCTGTGAAGTTGACTTGGTTATTTTTCTGTTTGGTAATCTAGTTGACCTTGTGAAACATCTTGAATCAGATTAACTCCAAAAGTTAATCTGCCTGTAGATGTACTGAACCTCTATATGCAGGTGATTATTATCTGGGTGACAAGAAACCCGCTTCAGAGCAGGTTAACGGAAAGCTCGCACTCACAAATAGACAAGCTGAACAAATAAAAACAAAAGACCCTGTGTGTTTTCTCTACTGTAGCTTGGAAGAGCAAAGATCAGCTTTCTTTCTCGGTGACAGCAAAAATGCAAATGGGTCTATAGGCGCCCACAAATAGGCTCTGGACTCATAAAACCAAAAGTGGAGCTTTAAAATGAACCTAAAGCTATAGTTTTTTTTTTTTTTTTAAACAGATCGTCCTGTACGAGCATTATTATGTTTCTGGTTGAAACTTTACAGTTTGTTGTCTTTATCCAGAAGGTCCTAGTTTCTGGGACCTTAGCCCGCGGGGCCAGCTGGAGGCTCAGGCTGTGATACAACTCCGACATTGTTTGTAGTTTTCTCCAGTCTGAAGCAGAAAAAAAAATCTTTGTTTTAACGACGTACCGCTCGTTTGTGGCCGAGTAGGAGGATTCTGAGAAACAAGAGTTAAAATATGCGCTCCAAGTCGCCGTAAAGAACACCTTGTTCGCCCGGTTTTCAGCCAAATCTGCTGAAAAAACTGACATGCTACAAGCTAACTGTCTCCCGAAACAGCCTCCGCGGACGCTGCCGTTTTTATCTGACATTAACGCGTAGAGCAGATATATGTTAAGATTAACTCTTTAGCTGCCTCTGATGTAAAACAAAGAAAACAAATATTAGCTGCTGCTGCTGCGACTGACATTTACCCACTCACCTCTCTGACTTCCTCACAGTAAATCAATGCGCCGTCCCTCAGTCTGAGCATGCGCTGTGAGCTGTGTCAAAAGTGTGCGAAAGAAGGTCTTTTTCTGTCGGAAGCTTTGGTTCAAGTACGGTGTCCGCGCGCCACTCGCTCTCTAAAGTCTGCGCGAGCAGCCAGCTGTTGTTATGAGACGTTCAGAGGGAGGAGTTTAGTTCTGTGTTTCACAAAGAGGCGGGGCTAGCTGCGTCACATGACAATCGATGATTTTTTGTGGAGGTCTAAAACTGTCATAGTTTTTTAATAACTGCAGGAATGTGAGAGAATATATTTGAATACTCTTGGCTGTTGAAAAATTAAAGCTATGATGGCTGTCATTTGTTGTTGTTTTTTTTGTGCTTCTATCACAATTCCTACACAATACATCCAAACTATTAAATATTCCACCAGCATGAAGGCCATAAAAACTTGCACCTTATGTGTTCGCTTCAATATATTTATGTAATATGTTATTGTAAATTATTGTCTAAGTGTTTGTAACCCCTGGTGTCTGTTATATTATTACTGTATACTACATTTTATTGTATTGTTTTGTACTTTTTCAATAAAGATTTTTTTTTTTTTTATCACAATTCCTACACATTTAAATTATTGTTCTGGGAGTTATTGTAACTCAAACTCATCAAAGTTTTTGTAGAAAGTGCATTTGAAAATAGTAAATATTGTTCACCTTTGCTTACAGCTTAATTCAGCAATGAGTATTTCTGAAAATCTCGACCTAGCTAATTCACATGTGATCTCATCTTAGTGCCAACTTTTGCTTTACCGCTCTCCACCGCTCGATTTCCTCCCCAATGTACTGTAAAGTAGTCCCTCGATACGTCGTGGTTTGACTTTTGCGTACTCACTGTTCCGCGGGTTTGTAACGTAAGATTGTACACGATGTATGATTGTCAACTTTAATATTGCTCACGTGATTGGGACGGTATGGGATAAAAAGTTAACGGGAGAGGACGGGAGTGGGCATCAACCAATAGGACAAAAACAGAAAAAAATACTTCAGACAGGCACCACCATTTTGTAGTTTGACTGACCGTTGTTGGATTTTTACCTGGATTAATGAGCATGAACTTTGGTGTTTTGAACCACTTTGGCATGGCTGCCTCAGGTTTTTTACTGTCATTAGGTGAAATGAAATTGGGTACCCAACATCCCAGTTACACCCAAAAATGGCAAAAACAAACAAAAAAAAGAATATAAAGTAGAAGCAGTATACAAGAATCTAAGATATAGTATACACTAAACACTAACAATGCAAAATAATATGGTATATTAAACAGCAGCCTGAACATGAGTCTGTAGTGAGGAGATGGGTATGAATACAGTTTATAAAGCCTTAATATACATATAAATACTCAAATAAATATAAAATCTCTACTTCGCAGATTTTCACCTATCACGGGGGTGTCTGGAAAGTAACCCCCGCGATAAGTGAGGGACCACTGTACTTATGTCCACTCTCGTCCTCACAACTTAATTACTTGCTGTTTTGTTTGTTTGTTTGGTTTTTGTTAGTTTGTTTTAGAAAGAAAATAGAATAATGCAGGATTTATACTCTGTGATTTATACTTTTACTTCTGGCGTCTTTGCTCTCCCTCTGACTCAGTTTATATCCAGGGATTACTTTACTCAACATACACCGAGTGCCAAGACCTTCGAAGTGTACTCGTCATTGTTTGAATGTAAACAAACGACTCGTAACTGTTGGCAACAAAACCTGACTCTGCTGATTTTGCTCATTTCTTACAAATTATTAATACTGAATGCTGCATATTTAGTGGTTATTGTATTCATAGTTTATATGCATATACACAAAATTGTTTTTTACATCAACAACAATGAACGCACACCTTTACCTCAGCACCTACACGAAAATCCAGTGAAAGACAAGCAGAAGAAAAAGAAAAGGCTCAGATAAAATGAATACTATATCAAATAATGGACACATTACAAATAAGTATATATTTGCACACATCAAGTCATATCGCTGTGGTGCTCAGTTCAGAACAATCTAACTAGCTGAACCTTTAATACGGCACACAAAGAGATTCAAATGATCCGGCCTTATCAGCCAAGGTCAGTCTGGTTTGTATTTTCTAGTTTCACAAGAAAATAAAGGAACTCTCTGATCCAACTTGTATTTGTAGATACTTTGTACTGTTTCATGATAACAAAATATGCTATTTCACAAATATGACTCAATATCTCATCATTATGAGATACTGTTCCATAAATGTGAGATGCTAGGTCATATTTTTAGATAGTATGTCATTATTATGAGATGTTTTTTTTATATATATATAAAAGTGGCACAAATAGGCTTCCATTAAATTGACATCTAATCAAAGCCACAATTGTAATAACTGTACTAAAATCTATTGCATTTGTTGAAACATTATTTAATGTAATAAGCAATTCATTTGTTGCACCAATGCAAATCTATTTTTTTAGTTGTGATCTTTCACTGTGACTTTGAACTTTTGTTTAGTCTGTGTTTCGTAGGTTGTTTTGTTCCCTTCGTTCCACTTCACCAAACCTTGGAATTTTTTGTTTTCATTCTTACCATGAAGTTTGAATGACAATAAATCTGAACAAATCTGGATTCATTTCTATACATATACAAGAAAATGTAACCACATTAACCTTGCTATCTGAATAGAAACTATACATATAAATATGAATGTCTTCATATATATATTCTAGTCATTCTATATTAGAGTTCAAACAAATGTATTTTCACATGTAATTTCAGGTGTTTTAGCCCTATTTCTATTCTCACCGGCCAAATAAGCCATTTCTTTTGCACACTGACACGACAAATCACCACTTTACCACTCGCATTGGAGCTTCAACATCAATCAGCTGAATTTGTCATTAATAAGTTCATCTTTGTTCATAGCCAGATTCTCATTTCCGTTATCCAGAATCAGGTTTTTATCCATTATACCTTCAATATCAGATAAGCAATGGTATTTTGTTTGCAATAAAAGTGACGACTCTTGTTTTTTAAATCTTTAAAAAGTGAAAAGACCAAGTGGACAACTGATCGTCTCTCAAATGGAAATTTACAGCAAAAGAAAAACAAGAAAGGTGAGGATTAGTCAGGAACCTGTTGTCGTCTTATGACACATTTTTGTTGTTCGAAAAGTAAAAACGCTATTGGCTCAGTTTCAAGTCTAATGTGTGTTTTGTTGCTATTCTTGTTCTTCCAGAGAAAGCTGCTGTTTCCACCTCGCTTATTGCTCTGACAGTTTTAGCCAGCGGAAAAAGGAGCGCCTGCAGTGCACCTGGCAGAGAGTTCTGCATAAACAGCTCAGTTTGTCTCATTAAGCAGATGTGGAGAGGCAAATTGAAGAGGCTGTCACGGGTTTTTGACTATGAAAGGTTTTTGTTTCGATGTCAGGAGTCCATTCATCCGTTTCCTTTACCCACTTTCTCATTTCACGGTAGCGGGGGTGGGGAGCTGTCCAGCAGTCACTGTGCAAGAGGCGGGGGGAACATCTTGGTCAGATCACAAGTCCATCACAAGCACACAGAGACAAAGAAGACATTCACTCACTCACGCCTAGTGACATTTTAGAGAAACAAATTCAAATGTTGAAGTTCTGCCAGAATGATTGGTTCTTGAGTCACTTCCTGATCAGTTTGAGTTTCGCAAGAGAACCTCGAAAAGGTTGCAACACAATGAGAGCCACAAAACAAAAGGTAGAGCTAACTAGAAGTTTTATTAAGCTCAAGAGTTGAGTAGTTGGGGAGAGCGAAAAGCCAAACAGTCTGCATCATGACAGGTAGGTGAAGGGAGAGTCAGCCTTGAGGAGCAAGTAGGCTGCTCACACTTGATTGTAGAGATCACAGGAAGAGTTCCTATCTGAAAACAAAATCAAAAATACACATCCCATAACACCCCCACTCTGAAAAGGGTCGCTCGAAGAAACCAAACCCATAACTAGAGAGATTCACTCAGTTCTTGACAGGGCATCTGCCATGGATGTGGCAAAATTTCAGGTCATACCCTTAGAGGAAAACATCCCATCACAGATGCTGGTTGGAGCCTCTCATGCTGTTGATAAAAAAATTTAAAAAGTGGGTTCTGCCCACAAAAACAAACAAGGATACAGCTTACTGACATAACCCTGAAGTGTGCCCTGACCCAGGATAGCCTCAAAACAATAATGGAAAAGCAAGTGACTGTTGGAAGGACTTTAAAAAAAGTACAGCTGCACCACTCACCTATCTAACCATCCATCCATCCATTTTCTTTACCCGCTTATTCCATTTTGGGTCACGGGGGTCGCTGGTGCCCATGTCCAGCAATCACTGTGCGAGGGGCGGGGTACACCCTGGACGGGTCGCAAGTCCATCACAGGGCCACATAGAGACAAACGAGACAAACAACCATTCACTCTCTCACTCACACCTAGGGACAATTTAGAGTTACCAATCAGCCTAACATGCATGTTTTTGGACTGTGGGAGGAAACCGGAGCACCCGGAGAAAACCCACGCATTCACGGAGCCTATCTAACCAGAGAGTTCCTAAAATGATTTATCCTTCAGCGACATGTTAGACAAAGCACCACAAATAACCATAGTTCAAGTTGTGTTTATTTATGCAAGGTTAAAGTTCTAGAATTGCGCCGCTCAAGGTGCTGCATGTTGGAGCAGCTCTGTTACTTTCATTCTGAGATTTTGCTTTTGGAAACTTTAATTCCTGGTTTTCGGGGTGTAAATCACTTTTTTTTTTTTTTTTAGATGATTGTTTCCTCTGGTATCAGATGCTGTGCAGCTAGAAAGATTTTTACTGAAACTTTTTTAGTTTTGGACATTTGTTATGATGTGAAACCATGGCAACAAGGCAGTTTTCTACAACCAACAGCAGCTGATTAACATCTCAAAAGCTCAAATAATATCTCAACTACAGCCCCTAATCTCAAATCGAGTTGAAAAGGATGTTCTGTGGATGCGTTCTCATCTACCTGCCAGCTGTGCTCAAGTGCCTGACCACTAAGATCCTGGAACTAGCAGGAAACGGGGCTAATGACAGTGGAAGGACAGGATCGTCCCTCGGCACCTACAGTTGG